ATTAATTCAGTTTTCAAAATGCTGTCAAACCAGGGTATCCCATTATTTTCTTGTAGGAAATAGGGAACAATATCTGTTTTCCTCACACTGAGCCACATCACTGTTCATTACCTTTCTGTAGAGTAATAGAGAGTCTAACAAAGAGACAGCAGCAAAAAGCACAATGTAATTACACTACACCAAAGCAGGTTTAAATAGCTCATTGTCTGTGTACTTTCTAAGGCAAAACTTGAAATAGCATGTTTGGTTCTTCTATAAAACCAAAAAAAAAAAAAAAAAAAAAAAAAAAAAAAAAAAAAAAAGGAGGCCACAGAATATTCGCTAAGTAAAGAAATAACTGAGATTTATAAAATTTAAATAAGTTCATTGTAGATTAGACTGTTTTCTTGAAATTAAGGGGTACATTAGCAACACAGTGAATAACCACTCAATTGTGGTTTATTCTGAAAGCAAAGCTGAGTTAAGCAACCCATCAAAACCCATAAAGAAACATGAAATAACAAGAGATGGCATGAGCAAGATCCCCATGACAGAAACAACATCACTGAAATGCCTGGCAGTAAAAAGCTTGCAACGCCAAGGAGGTGGGTTCAAGTCATCTGCTGTTAGAGCCTGTTCTTTCCAAGAACATTCAGCTCTTCTCTGCAAGGGAATTCCTCAAACAAATATCAAAAAACTATCTTGGTGAAGACTAGATTTAGACTTTGCAAAATGTTGCCTTGCAGTAGGAAAAGCTGTCGTCTTTTATAACTTTGCATTTTCATTGCCTTGTTAGCAATGGAAAATGGATTTCCAGTCTTTCTGTAATGCACCTGAGAACTCATTTCTAGAAGGGCAGCTGTAAATGAGGGAAATCTGTTAAACCAGCATTCCTACAAACACAATCCAATCTAGAGTCGTTTTCCAAGCTGCGGTCAATATACTCTTAAATTGGTTTATTAAGTTTACATTTCTTTTTGGAATAACTTACCAGCAAATAACATACAGAAAGAAAATGTTTACTTCATAAAGCCTGCAGAAATCAATGCTTTCGATTTTGAATCCGATGTTGTTATAGCCAGAAGGTCCATTATCCAGCACAAGAGTTTCAGGACTCTGTTTTTGCTTGGACATATGTAAGTTGAGGAAAACAACATTCTCCACCTCCAAAACATCCTGGATATCTAAATATAAGCCCTGTTTCTCATCACCCAACATTTGGAATTAATCAATACCACTGTGCATTACCGCGGTTTCAACAGACACTGAATATGCCAGACACCTTCTATTAGAAAGCACTGTACATAAGAACACTGAAGTAGCAAAACTCAGGAGACTTCCATCAGGATTCAGGCACTTATCTCAATCTTCCTGACCTCCTGCCTTCCCCAGGCAGGCAGTGAAAACAAGGCATCTTCAGACAGTTCAGCCTATATCAGAATCAAACCTCTTGGCCACTGCTCCTCTTCCCCATCATATATGATAAGAACAGGGAAGGTGATACAAATATGAAAAGTAAATAAGGCAGACTTATAAAAAATGATCAAAAAACAGCTTTCACTAGCTGTGCTGTTTCACTTCTCCTTAATCCATCTAGACTTAACTATGGAATCCAAGAAACATTTGAAAAATATGAACGTGGACCTTGAGTTCGTTCATGACATTCCTCTTAACCAAGAACAGCATCGCTTCCCCAAAACAAAAAGACCAGGTTATTATTTATAAATTACAATACACAAGAAAACCATGTAATGTTTCCACTCAAAATCAACTGATTTTGCTTCAACAACTGCAGATAAAGACACTGTCTGAATCTAAATCTGCAAACACATATTGGGTTCTAAGATGTTCTAAGAACAGGCATGTTTTCAACTCATGCAAACATGCCTGGCTGGGAAAGTCAATCAAGTTTAAAATCTGGTGCTGTGGGAACACTGCGTTTGTGCACAATGTACTGTACACATCCATACAATGTGTAAAGTGAGACAGATTGCCTAAGTCACACATAACTGGGATGTTTTCATTCTTATCATTTCTCAAATTCGTTTAACAGTGTTGAACTTTGTGAGAAAATGTGTTTCTGGATGTTATCCTGTAACATGTTATTTGGGAACCTGTTCCAAATCAAGATCAAAAGACGCTGGATTAAGAAGTATTAAAAGTAAATTACCTAAGCTCAACTCCTTCCTAGAGATTTATTTACACAGCAATATGTTCTCCATTACATCTAAAACCTTCACACTTCATCGATACTACAATAAAGAGCAGATTACTACAGCCCAGAAGTGCACTCTTACAGAAAAGGGTCTCACAAAGCTCAGCAGAGGAAACACACCAGCAGATCAACCACTGCTCTTCCCTCCATTACTATAAGCTTCTGCTTGTTTTCTTCAACACGAAAAGAACAAGTAGTCAAGAAAAACAGGCAAAAAAGTTAAACATGCTTATGAAGAACTGACATTATCAGCCATTTATCCCAGCCACAGATATTATGGTATATACATGAAGGACATCTAATACTCCAAAAGAATAAGATCTATTTCCCATCATCTTTCAATAGATAAATGAACTTAAGGTTTCACATTTCCTTTCCTCATAACCTTGTAACATAACAAAGAGAAAAGAGGATTTGCCTTCCTTGTGGTTCTTCCAGAACAGGACTCTTGGACCTGTTGGAAAACCCAATTTATTTGCCATACAGAAACAGATTCGTTAAGTCACCTTGCAACCAGTCCCACTAGAGACATTTGGATGTGAATCTAAAGCTTTAACTGATGAAGACATAAGCATAGAAGAGAGTCTACTGGAAAAAGTCTACTGCAAACAAGACTGTCAATTTTCAAACAAGGCACATTTCAAGGTTGGTTTTTGTGTGTGTGTGTGCGCGCATAAGGAGCAGCTTGTATTGTGTTTTCTATAAAAAGGAAAAATAAAATTAACAGACAAAATAGCAAGAAACCTGATGGTAAGTAGGATCTGAGAAAGGCACTTCTCCAGAAAAGTCACAAATGAGTATTTTGAATCCCTGTGAAAAGGTTAGCATGCCATCACAGTGAAACATTCACAAAGACATAGTTTAAGTTGTCAGATAATACAATAGCACAGAAAGAAATGAACATTTTGTAGGAAAAGATAATAAGCATCTGAAAGATGATTATGCTGCAGAGTATAGTGCAAACCAGACCTAGCATCAGTTTCTTTACCACAGGTTTTCCAACTGATACTGCTACCTTTCTGCAAGGACAGCTCTATGAATATTTCAAAAGGAAAGGGCAAAGAGTTGACTGAAGTCTGTCTAAGCCGGTTTATTATTTCTGCTGTGGAAGACAAGTCTTTTGAAAGTGCTTGAGAGCTTCAGAACGAGTTATTTTGATGTAACTAAGGCGTTAAAATGCTGTCATTAACTTAAGCTAGTGAAGGAATTTTTGACTTCTACTTACAAATATAAAATCATGTCCTGCCTTAATCAACAGAAATACATATCACAAATATCAATTCACTGTGAATAATTCTAAGTCATATAGATTTGTGAAATCCTTTGCTAAGTGAAACCACGATCAGGGCAACAATAAAATCAAAATAAAAGAATTGGGCAGCATGAACGTTCAGGCTGAGATCCTTTAGCTGCTTACTAACAAACAAATTAAGGAAGTCAAGAGAAGAGGTCATACTTTCACATGACCTTAGAAGGTCACATAGCACATATTTTATACAAACGTCACGTGAAGTGGAGCCAACGTAGCATGTTACTTTTTCTGAAGTCTATTTTTTATACAGTAAATTTATATTTAAGTTCTCCTACCCTCAAATTTGTGCTATTTGTTTTCACTTACGTGAAAGGGATGCTTTCTTAAAAAACAAACAAACAAACAAACAAAACACACCAACCCCCTTAGCTGTCATGGGTACTTCATTTCTTCCCCCAGCTCTCCCAGGTAGCATTACATTCCTTCAGATATGCCTCCAACAGTGTTAGGCATAGGAGTGTGCATACAGACGCCTGTGTGCACCACCAACAAAATGATTTTAGGCTTAAAACAGGCTAATTGGCTTTCCAAATCTGGTTGATGCATCCAGAGAACAATCCAAGATGGAGGTACCTTTAATTATGCTCAACCTCTGAGGACCAGCCCAGTTAAAAAAGCAACATCCACCACACTCACTTTGCCACAAACTTCACAGCTGAAGAAATCTGTGTGATGAGGCACAGATTGCTGTAAGCCACGCACAAAATCAGAGCTTACACGACCACCACAGCACAGCTCTTGTTGATGAAGTGTCTCCTACTACCTTACGAGCAGAGGTTCACTTCACAAGGAGCATTAAGCTCGCCAAAGTTTCAGTTTCTATGCAGAGTGTAGAAGCTGGATGGAGGGCTGCCACCTCGGTGACACCCTGAAGGAAAGCTAAGGCGTAATCCCTGATTTAAGGAATCGCCTCCTCTGAGAAGATCACCGCGGTCTATCAGGGAGCCACTTACAGCAGCAAACCGAAGCATCAGCACCGGAGCTTCACCAATTTTGTCCCCATTTTAGAACAGCGCTGCTTGGAAAAATTAAAAACGAAATAAAAATAAAAACCCTACGAGATAACTTTCCTCCAGCACATCCTCCTCAGCGACTGACACTCCGAAAAGTGACCTTAGCGGCTGAAGGCAGGTCCCCGGCGCCCGGCTGCCCGCCCCACACGGCTGGGAGCCGCTTCACGACGGGCCCGGCCCGGCGGCTCCGCACCCGCGGGGCTCAGCGAACGGCAAAGCCCCGAGGCGGCCGCCCGCTCCGAGGCGGTCCCGTCCCCCGAGGGGAGCGAAGGACGGGGCAGCGCCGTGGAGATTTTCTCCTCGCCCTCCTCCCGGGCGCGGGAAAGAAGGACGGAGAGGCGATGCCCTCGCGGGGCCCGGCTCCAGAAAAAGCCCCGTCCGCTTCCGCGAGGCACGGGGCGCGCTCCCCGGCCAGGCCCGGAGGCAGCGAGCCGCTCCAGCGCGGCGACCCGCAGAGCGCGGCGGTGGCCTCACGTCCTACCTGAGGGCTGCGCAGCGGGCGGCGGGGCCCGGGCGGGCATGGCGGCGGCGGGAAAGAGGCGCGGGGACGCGGCCGGTTACCTGAGGCCTCCCGCGGCAGCCGCCATCGAGGGGGAACCCATGTCACGGCGACAGGAACCGCGTCGCGGCGGCCCGGCCCCCTCCCGGCGGCCACCGCCTCCCGCCCCGCCGCCACCGCCCACTTGGCCCCGCTTCTCCCGTCAGCCCCCGCGCTGCCACCGCCCTCGGAACCGGCGTCACTCCCAGCAACGGCCGCGAGAACGCGAAGGAATAAATAAGCGAGGAACGCTGCTGCGGGAATGGCTGCCCCGTTACAGGAAGCGGCCAGGCCGCTGCTCGGCCGCCATCTTGAGTGCTGGCAAACTGCCTCGCTCGCTGTGGGTCGGCCATCTTGGACGAGGGGTGAGGCGGCTGGCAGGGAGGTGAGGCTGCGGCTGCCATGTTGGGTGAGGGCAGTCTGACCAGATCCCGGTGGTGCTGCCTTATGAGCTGGTTCAACTTCTAATTCTTGAGGGCTAGGGTAACGCTTTTTGCATGGGAAATTGTTTCTTGTAAGATTTTGCGCCTTTGAAGTTTGCGGGGAAGCAGTCTGATCCTGTATTTATGATCCCACAATCCTGTTTCCAAATCCGTCTCTGGAACAGACGGGGCAATCACCGTTCCACCTTTCACGTCTCTGTGTGACCAGAGGGTAAACATCTTGAACTTCAGAGTCTGCAAGCCACCTAATCCCGGGGGAGTCCCCAGGGCCTGTCTGCATCCAGCTGAAAGCTCAGTTCTTAAGCATCGGGATCTGCCAGAGTTCCCTCCTTCAAAGAGTAGGTTGGTACTAATTTCATTCTGGAAAATGAGATTCTTAAGCGCGTACATCTCGTGGTGAAGGTATGTGCAGCATCAGCCAAATCGTGCTGTAGCTGAACTGGCTTTCTCAAGCTTATATTTTCATGGTTTTGTTAGCTTGTGGGTTGTGCAAACTCTGTAGAAAGTAGTAGAAACATGGTAAACAAAGCATGCAGGGAAATACTGTGTTCTTTATACCCTTTTTTATATGCTTCCCCCCCCCCCCCCCAAGTAGACAATGGTTTGACCTCATTGATGAAAGAACACTTCCAGCAAAAACACTCAGCAAAATCACAAGAAATAATACATTCATGCTTCTATTCCTCAAGTGCGTTATTGTTGTTTTCTATGACCTGTTTACGTGATATTGGTAAAAAGCATTAGAACTGCAAACACATCAAGTATTTGAAAGCGCATAATATTGCTTTAAATAAAGTGCTGTGCCTGCTACATTTACTGAACACTGCGGTGGTTAAAGCATACTAACAGATTATGATATTAAAGTAGTGTATAAGTATAACTTGTTCCTACGGAGGTTTGAGCGTGTATTTAGGCAGTTTTCCTGAGGGAGGCTTAAAAAGGGGTTATACTAGGATGTTTCACGTTTGAGATAGGTTTGTGAATAAAAATGCCTTGAATACTCTGAAGAGTAATTATAATTAATATGCTAATTTAATAAGTCACATGAGTCCTCTAAGAAGCATGGGAGAACTATATTGTTAATAGACTATTTCAGTTGCGTTAGGAATCCTGGTACAATAGCTGAAAACAATTGTAGGTGACTGTTAAAGAGGCTGTGTGACTTCTATTTTGCCACCTGGTGGCTGTTTTTTCAGCTTTTTTTCAGCTTAGCATCCAAAACGGTGTAAAGCCTGTGCTGACATGGCAGGACAGGAAAAGCAACAAGGGAGCTGGAAAGTAAGCAGTGTAGCAGTCAAAGAACTTTGACCTTCATCCAGTATAAAGCACCATGGCTTACAATTGTAAGGGTGGAGAAAAGAATCTGTAAAAGCAGAATGCTTGTTAAGCACCAGATAAAGTAGGTCCCACATCTGGGGCAGGCTTTAAGTTGCAAGGGCTCAAAATATATTTCAGTTTCCCATACCAGTTGTGTTTGGTTAATGGCCATTGGCTGTGAGCTTTCACCGCCTTTACAGCAACATTGTAAATAACATACTTAGAGGAGTTAATTTTATGATTAACTTGTCTTCTACAAATGGTGTGAATGAGTATACTGGATAAACACCATGCCCTGTGAAAACCCAAGCAGCAACCTGAGCCCCAGCACCCTAAAACAAATGTGAAACCCTTTTGTGGAAAAATCCAAACCCACAGGCCTAATTTCATGACAGGAAGAGAGCTAGAAAGATTGGCAGTGTCAGTAAATGAGGTCCTAGAATAGAAGGAAAATGGTTAAGTAAAATTCCCAGATGATTTGAGGAAGTAAATAATATCCTAAGCTACAAGGAAAGGCAGAAAATCTGTCCAAATGGTCTTTGCCAGTTTGACCAGAGGGAAGCTTCCTTCTATTTCTTGGTGGTATTCAGTAGTTCCTAGGATCAGAAGCTTTAATGGTTATGCAGTTTTGTGTCTGTACAATTCATTTCACTTGAACACAGGATCGGATGAGAGGTAAGTGTTCCACATGAAAAAGTGAAGGTGATCTTCTCTTAGGCATAGAGTGAATGATTGGCAAGGTGTGTGGGATTTTTTTAGTCACTCCTGCGTAAGCTTTGCTGATTGAGAGAGATTACATTTACTGACGAAGGCAGGCTGACTCTTTATAATAGCATTAGCCATGTTAAGTGTTTGCTCTATGAAGTGAAATCCATGAATTACAGCACTAATTTCAAGGTTATGTTTTCAACATAAGAAAGTTTCCTTTACAGAACTGCATGGATTATAGACACTGTGTTATTTGAATGTTATTCTTGAGTGATGTTCTATAAATCTTCAAATATTTTAAAGAGTTCTTTTTAGTCTTATACTTTCATGTAATTTTTTTCAGCATAGTGAAGAAACGTAATCTTGAGATGTTCGTCTCAATGTGAAGCTTCTTTTATGTAGTGCAATAGAGGGTTTAAGTCTGGTGGGACTAACCTTGTTAACTCCAGGGTCCGATCTCGTTAGCAGCAGCAAAGCAGCTTTATCGTGCACTGCTGCTGAATCCTAAACTGTCAGCAGAGGGCGCAGCATTACTACAAGTCTTAGATGGAAAAGGAAATCTTGGGGCGCCAAGGTGATTCAGGAAGACTGTCTCCCAAAAACCCATATGTTCTGCAGACTGGTTTGGGAATTGAGGATAACAGGGAGGACTTATGATCTGCAGCCACGTTCTTCATAAAACTCGGTTGTTAGTAATTCTGAAGAAAATTGAGTGTTTGTTGGGAAATCACGTAGCTTTCTATTTTTCATTTTGGAGTTTACTATGTAATTCCTAACTATCTTTTGGCTTTATTTTATGCTATATCACTTCCGCATGGTATAGTGCGGAGTATCTTCTGAAAGATATTGGTTTGCTAGCAGTGTTGTTTTTTTTTTTTTTTTTAACTTAGTATTATTTTCTTATTTGCAAAATATGCACAGTACAACATGGCTCCTGGCAGTGAAAGCTTTTTCTGATTTCACTGCCTAGTGTATGGGGTAACAACTTGCTCTAATCAAAGACTTATTCAAGTCTTTAAACTTCAGACGGCATGCTTCCTTCTTTGCTGAGTCTGGCAGTGTTGTAGATCAGAAAGCAGACATTCTGCTTCCTGACAAAATGTGGTGCTTGATTTTTTTTTTTCTTTAATTTTTTTTATTCACAATTGAATCAGACACTTGAATTTAAAACGTCATTTGCACCTACATGATGATTTAATTTCACTGATGTCTTTCATCTGTGCTATTGTTAGTATAATGCTAACTAATTTAATATCTTTTTTTTCCTGTGGAAATGACTTTAAAAAGTAGAAAATCAAGCAGATTGAAAACAGGAAATCAAGGCATCGCATTTTGTCTTGACAGAATGTTTTGATTTTTTTTTTTTCCATCCTGACTTGAAACTGAATAGGCGTGTTTCTGTGAAATGCTTTTAATTCAGCAAAGCTGCATTTATCTTAGACCATTATAGCTGAAATAAGCATTGCTGGTACATTGTCAAGAAGAAATACCTTGTCTGATTGAATTCACCAATCAGCCTTGAAAGCTTTACATGAAAATTGTTTGTGGCTGTGGTTTCATAAGGTGGATATTATCAAAGCTGTCTGAGTGAATAATGAGTCTTTTCCTCTGACTTCTCTGTAGGCAAGAGTTAGTGACAGAAAAACTACTGTTAGCTAACTTAAACAAAGCTGTGTATGAGGATGAACTAAGCAGCCTGTTACTGAACTGCACTGCTGATCTGTCCTTCAGCATCAAAAGGTGGTAAAGCAGATCTGTGTGCAGTTGTTGCTTTTTACCTTACACAGAGGTTGGTGACCTGAGATCTGTCCAGAATCAGGGTGAATTTCCTGGCTCTTTCACATGGCAGTGCAAGCCTCTTCTCTGTATTCAGAAAGCCAGTAGTACTTCTTGGTCCCACGGCATCTCCCAACTACAATGGGTATCCCCTTGTGAAAAGCCCAGCAGCTTTACACAGTTTGTCTGTGAGCTGGCTATGCGGCAAGGAATTTGAGGATCCACGTTCCCTGCACTTCACAGTGTCTTAATTCCTGCTCTGTGTTGTCTTGCCTCTCTTCTAACAGTGAAAGGAATTTGCTGAGCCTGGTCTCCATGCTGGGAGTTAGCTGTTAGGACCGCTCAGGACTGTGTGACAGTCGCTGTTTCTTCCAGGGCTGTAATACTTCTCAAATCTCTTTAGAGATTTCTGAGCGACTCTTCAGAACATCTTGAATGCCTGTATCTTCTGTATTACTGCTAATTCTATTAGCATTGACCTTTGGGCAAGTGAAATAATTAGGCACTCATTTAGTTTGTTTTAGATATCCCATAGGTGTGCTTTGGGTTTTCCCAGATCTCGGAGCAACTGCCTCCATTTGTTCGAGTTGTAAGGGCATAAAATACGGAACATATTACTGTTGCTTTACATGCAACATACAAAGTCTTTGGAGTGCATATTTGTTACTATTTCATACAAATCACACAAATCTGCCTAGCTGTCTTTACTGGAGTCATGGTTACAAAAGCTAGACTGCATCGCTACATTAGCAGCCCAAACCTCTTGTGACTCACAAGCCATTAAAAATCCCCAAATAATCTTTAAACAATTCTAAACGTGTTAAATACAAGGAATCCTATGTAGTTACAGAAGGTGGAGGGAGAAGGGTGAAGTGGCAGTTATATCAGGTGGGCCTTAGAAATCTCCCATATCCAAAGGGCCTGTAGGTTCTTTCGTTTTTGTCTCAGGCTTGTTTGAATAAAGATAGGATTGAGGGCACTCAGTACTATTTTTGGGAGGCATGGGGTTTTGTGTTGTTTTTGTGCGTGTGAGTTATTTGTTTTTGTCTCTCAAGGATCTCAATTCTAGGTCTCAATCATGTTTTCAGCTGTTTTGGAGCTGCTAGTGAACTCTGAGGATCACATTTTTTTCCACATGAATGCTATGCAGTGGATTAACCAGCTCATGAATGTCAAACCAGCCTCATTCTTCCTACCATGGTTTATTCTACATCCTCAAAGTAGCAGAAATTAATGATACCAGTGAGGTCATGCTATGCACCTAGTCCCTACATACTTATATATGTAATTCATCAGCAGTATGTACAAAATATATTTTATTGTATGCATTTTAGTGCAGGTAGGGTTTCTGAGGAGAAGCAGTAGAAAAAAAAACAGAATTCTCAGAAGGGAATTAAAAATGATTCACTTAAGAGCAGTACTTTGTCTTTAAGAGGCCTGGCTTGTGGATTTTGTACAATTTAAGTTGAACAAATGCTAAAGTGATTGGAGATCATTATTTTGTTTTAGTGATTCAATTTACTTATTGGATAAAAGCAAGTTGATTTCCATAGCCACCCTCTTACCTTGTATGCTAGCACTTCCCTGATGACAGGAGTCAAGAGTCATCAAATTCCCTCACAGATAAGCTGATAGAAAATTCTAAGCTACAAATTACTAAGTTTGTGTTTCTGATGAGCACTATTACAGTCATCTCTTGCACACAGAGCTGTTCAGAGTAGTACGACTCATGCCTGTAATCCCTTAACATCTATTTTCAGACTTCTTCATTTCCAAAGGCACTTTACCTTTCCTTAAATATTTAGGAATATTGAAATATTCTTCTGCAGCTGCTTTTAAAAAATACATTGCTGTCCCTGTACTTAATAAGACCACCTGTAATATCTTTTTGTAAGTGAACAAGGTCTTTTCAGATGTATATCAATTCAGTTAGTGAAATTCAGATGCTTTGGACAAAGTTTTCTCCATGAACCTATGTTGTATGCCTGGAAGTCCATTGTGTCCGTTAGTGCAAGTGGAAACAGGATTACATTCCAGGTATTAAAATGGAAAAGACTAAGTTTTCTGGGTTAATCATAACTGCTATCTCAAAAATTCAGTTTCCATGGCAGAAGAGCAGGTCCTCCAAATATTTGTCAAAATCTTTCTCACTGTCCAGCTCAAGTCTGATGTTTGTTTTCAATATCACATATGTTAACTCTATCCTTGTATCTTTATGCAACGGGTTTGCTTTTTTGATCACTGTTCATTGAGTTGCAACGCATCTGGAAGATTGACACATAGCAGGGGTAGATCTCATAATAACAGGATTGTTTCCTGGGAATTTCATACATAGAAATACATGAGATTTGTGAAAGGTGATCCTAACTTATCTGATAGAATTTTTGTCATAGGTAAATAATGGATAGCGAGACAAAACCTAAAAGAATATGCCATGTTCCAAACAGCCAATCTGCTTTTGAATGCTAGCAAGAATTTTGTCTGCCCTGGTTTAGTTGGAGTACTATGAAGAAGGGCCTTAGGCTGCACCAGCAGTCTCTGCAAGGCTGAGACCCTAGCATGTGTCAGTGGTAGTTTGGGATGTTACTGCCTTTGGTTGGATTTTATTGCTCCTCTGCAGAGGCAGAAATGGTGCCTGTGTCTCAATGACTCCAATGCAGAATGTGTTTGCAAAAAGCTCTCTTTGCTGGTGACTTAAAATAATGTGCCATAGCAGGGAAGAGCCAAGTGTTGCCATCAGTCTTCCAGCTTATTCTAGATCAAGTGGCCTCAAGTAGTGAGAGTCAGGCAGCTCCTTAAATTGCGTGACAAGGTTCACCCAGAGGGGAATATTGATCTCTATGATGTCCTATCATTTTTTCACAAACAGAAATTGAATTCTACATACCTATGGCAAGAAAAGGGCGCAAACAAGCTCAATAGCGGCAGCACAGTGTAGGAAGTTACAGGCAGAAGAGTGCACTGAGAGCTGGTATGTGAAGGGAACAGCATAGTGACAAAGGTAAGCACAAAAACAGCTGGGAGATGAGAAGCCCAGCCTCTGCAGCCTTCAATATCCACCATGATGGGGAGGCCTCTTGAGAGTGATTGGACCAGCTCTTACTGCAAGAAGAGCTGTGAAAGATGAGAATAAGTGCCTGAGTAATCTTAACATTCATCAGGCTCTTATGTAGGAACATTCTCTTAAATTATGATAACTGCATTTCAGCCCTGGGAAAAGGGTGCTTTCTCAGAGCTAGCTCCTTGGTTCTAGTAAACAAATACAATCCCAGCAGGCTTAAATGGTGTCTCTGATGTGCTCTGGAGGCATCCTTGCCAGTGTGTGCTTCCCTTCATCTCTGCAGCACTACTCAATCAGAGTGCAGCCTACGTTATTTCAAGGGAGATGTATGTGCATCTTAGAGCAATGAGCTACAGCCACCCCTTCTCTAATGTTATTGCAGCCAAGAGATTTGAGTTACTGGTGAATTTGGCTCATGTTTTTCATTTTGTAAGCAATGAACTAAAAATATTTTAACAAGCATGATAATTCTGTAAATTTATATGATCCATCCTTTGTTGGAAGGAGGCTAGATTCCCACCGTAGCCGAAAGAGAGCTATTTTCAGAGTACTAGACTGGGCTCTGTGCCTTCATCTGGCCTAACTGGGATCTGACGTATCCCATCTAGATGTTGTGGAATTCTCATGCCTCTGTTCTTCTGCATATCCAGTGCTACTGAGTTGGAAACGTGGCTCCAAACAGCATGAAGAGCCAAAATATGTCTTCCTAGTGCAAGCTGATTGTGAAATACTCCAAAGGAGCAATTTTTGTCTCAATTTTCTTGCACTTATGGAACTGTTTATAACGCCGGCCACAGGGTATTTGCTGTCTACTTGGTCAGATGTAAGTCAGCGGTTCAGTGGATTTACATGAAAGGCTGATGGCGACACACAATCAGTTTGCATGCAAATGGCAATGATCCAGTTGCCCAGTTGAGGAATGTTATATGATCAGTGCAGATATAATTATATCCAAATTTGGCTACACTCCATATTTTATCCATATTTATCCTTATTCTGCTGCAAAGGGGCTTGTCTCCTTTGCCAAGAAATCCCCTGGGCAAGAGCGTATCTCAGCGTCTCACTGTTTATTCCATATTGGGTGGAATTTCCAATAAAGCCTCCTCTGTGGAGAAGCCAAGATGCATGACCCTTGTTAGTAATGCAGCTATCTCCAAAAGTCAAACCTCTGTCTTTTCGGCAGTCTAGCTCACTTATGAAATGTTGTATCTTGTGAGATCATTTGCACTTCTTTGAACAACTAGTTCCTGATGGAAAATCTATTGGCAATAGCTCACATTTTTTTTGAGGAGCAAAGGCTCCTTTGTATGCTGTCACGTGGTGGAGCAGAAAGGAGTTTCAGGGATACAGCAGTGCTCTCCTGCCAGTCAGATGCTTCCTTTGCTTGTTTGAAGAGGTGGTAGGATGCAAACCAGCTTTTGTTCAAAAATAACATAGACATTTTAGCACATGACTGTTCCCCCTCTAGCACGTCCTCTTGTACCTTCTGGGATCATTTTATCTGAGCTGTGCTGATGTAGCTCAACTGCTATCAGATGTCCTTTTGCGGGGTCACTGTAGGGATGAGGAACATGTAAACTGAACCTGCTGGGGTAGCTGTTACAAACTGACTTGTTAACCGCTTGTCTGTAGCCAGCCACTCTAAGGTGGATGGGGCATCTGCTTCGTGGCTGCAAAGTTATGAGTCTTCTGATCTTTTTTCCTCTATATAAACATCGTCAGATGTGGTCTGACAGCACGTTACACTGAGAACATTTTTCCACTCTGCAGTTCTACGCCATGAAGATGCTTAAATTACCCTACAGGCTATGCATTCAGAGAGATCCATGTTACTCACATCTCTGGTTTTGGCTGACTATTTATATAGCTAGGCCACTTCTTTGGAGAGCCTCCCTTTCTCAGTCTGATAGAGATGAGGGCAGGCAGAGCCACAACTTTGTGCTATCTAGAAGGACCAGGACACTAACCCTCTACAAAGTGTGTCAGGGAGTCTGCTCTCAGGTTTGCTTTAGAGCTGGTTTGCTTTTACAGAGCTGTACCAGTTTCTCCTGAGTCAGATGCTGTCATGTGCAAGCTACTGTGGTGCCTTCAATTCAGTTAAGAGTGGATCAGATAGGTTTCTTCTCCCTTCACAACTACCACCTTATTGTTGCTCTGTTTGTTATTGTGCATTATGCCAGCATTACACAGCTACAAGCCTGCCTTGGGGCCCAGTGCAGTGCATGTGGTTACTCAATACTTCTGATTGAGTAGACAGAGCAACATTACAAATTTACATCTACAGTTTCTTGACACTCATTCTGCCTATGTAAAAATCTACATGTGTGGAAAGTGTTGGGTCTTGGGACAGGCTGGGCCTTTTCTTTTCCTACACAGGGACAGATACAAGGAGGCAGATAGCAGTAGGTCAGAGCTGTGTTGGGCCCTAGTTTAATATAGGCCCAAAGTAAGGCTCCACTGCAGCCTCCAAGTTTCCCTTGAGAGTCACAGTCAGTGATTCTGGTGGTGAATGTGAGTCCTGTGAAGAACAAAACATGATCTCTGCAGCTGTAGCAGATACTGCTGATGTATGGAAAATAGACAGCATTTATGTGAGCTTTTGAGTACTTGTTTTATTCCCGTCATTCTTTCTAGATGGTTGAATAGCTTGATTTTGAATCCAAGCATTTCATGTCCCAGAAATCAAACATCACCATCACCACATGGCCTCCTCAAGTGCACAAAGATGCTGTTTCTGTTTCCCATTGCACTGGTATTGCTCAAGTATGAAGAAACAGAACTGCTGTTTTACCAAGATTGTTAGAAGGGAGGGATCTCCTGAAGGACTGTATGTACTAAATTGCTCTATTGGCAAAATGGAAAAACAGTAGTGAAAACTGAAATGTTTGCATCCTGCATGTGTTTACACTTTAAGGGCAAAATAATAATAATAATAATAATAATAATAATAATAATAATAATGTGATGCGTGCTTTGTGGTGATTAATATTATTTGTCTGCATGAAGATTGTTTTCTCTGAGGCTTTTGCTGTATGGTCTCATAAAGCTAATGGGCTGCCATTGTATAAAACTCCTTCACAGGATATTCCTGAAGCCTTGCTCAGTCTTTAGCTAGGCAGAGCAGACAAGGAATTTGAAAAGTGTAAGAACACGTCAGGACTCCTGAGTTTGCCTAAGACTGCATATAAAAAATAATATTGTCTTAGAAAACAAAAAGCATGTGTCCTCCATCTGCTGAGCAAGGGCTTTCATGCCCATGGTTTTTCCCTGGCTGCTGGCAGATTCACAGAATTGGATGTATTCTGACTGAGGCTGAATAAGCAGCTGGAGGGCTGTTATCTCAGTGTAGCGGCACAGGCCTGTTCCTTTTTCTGTTTTCAGGCAATCTGCCCATTCTCTCTCCTTTGTAGAGGCTGCAACTTTATGGGAGGGTGAGCATGTTCACATACATCATAGCGTTGGTGCTTGCTGAGGCTGAGCCAGGCAAATTATTTCTGTCTCATTCCCACAGATGGAGGAGGGCACTTAATACCTTGAGTCTACACCTTTTGATAAAGCACTCCAAAACACCTGTCCATCAGACTTACAGATTGGTGTAGCCAGAGATCATTCACCCATCTCTGGCATTCAGACATTTTGCAGTGATTGAATTTAAACTACGTATAAAACTGGTTACCCCAAACTGTTGAGGTCAAATTTGTCTGCTACTGTAACTTCCTTGACATCAGTAAAGCACCAGGAAAGTTGAATCTGGAGCTTTACATTTTTTTCTTCTTGTTTAGGAATAGGGGACCAGCCAGAAATGAGGGCTGAATACTACAACATCAACATTCCCTGTGCTGCTTGCAACCCATCAGCCAAGAGCTTCTCAGTAGCTTCCTTTCTGAGAAGGTGCTGGTGCTGAAAACTCAAAAATGACTGGGATAAAAAATTTTCCTGTTCAATCTGAGCAAAAATCTGCTGTCTTGAAACATGATTCTGCTTTATCTGATTTTACTTTTGGTGGAAGGAGAGGCACACAGTTTTTTCTTATTGTCACCTATTTTTGGCAATCCAGAAATGATCTTGTTGAAAGCCTCTGAAAGCTCTGGTAACCATTAATTACTTTGGATCTAGCTGGTAGGAAACTCTGCTTTAAGCAGTATGGAAAGTTACGAAAACAAAAAAGGGTTACATGTTTATAGAGCACTTTCCACATTATTTAGCATTCCTAGTTGTTGAGTGTATTGTGCTTCCTACTCCTACATGTAGAAGATGCTTGCGTTACTCATGGGATGTTGAAGAGGGATGTTGTGCAGATGCTGCCCCAAGCACCTCCACTCCTATAGCTTTTTATTTAGAGCTCTTACTAAGCCTGGCAGGACAGGTGAACCCCTCTGGAAGCAGAATTGCAAATGTCTTCTTTATTGTGTGAGTGATGCAAAACCCCTCTGCCTTCAGCACTGAAAGCCTTTCTTGTTCTTCACTCTCTTAGGGTGGTAGTTTCCTTCCTATTAACAGATGCTGAAGAAGTGTTGTATCTGTCCTATGTTATTTTCATGTCTTTTTTTTTTTTTAGACCTCAAACACAGGATGTGTGTGCTTGTGAACGGACATCAGGCAGGTATCTACACTTGGGTATTTGGTAGAAGGCAAACATCCTCAGGGGCCCTTTGTACACAGCAGAGCTAGATCCTCTGGAAGATCATTCAGGGTATTGGAATAATCACTGATAAATCATCCTCTGGAGAAGTGCCTCTCTTTCTGCCTGTATAGGAAATCCACAGAGACCAGACTCACTCATTGCAGCCGAAATAAGACACTGCAGAAGGTGGCGTGAATGCCCCCACAGTTTCAGCTACTACTCACCCATTAAAAGGCTTCCAGTTTTCCTGGAATTACTAATGTAGCCACTCAGCTGTCCTAAGCAAAAAAGCAGCCTGTGGAAAATTGTGTATTAAGCATCAGCCTTTATTGCACCAAATAGCTCTTTTAAATCCTCACCCTGGGAAGCTGTTGACACATGTTTGAATCACTCTACTACCTTCTCCCAATAAATGTATGTGTAATTGTGTTTGTGTATACTAGTTACATGTTGCTGTGGAAGTTCTGGCATGCTGATATGTATCTGCATGCCAACCATCACAACCCATAGCTTCATGGCCGTATATGGAAGTTCACCTGTGAAGATGTTCAGAATTTCCCTTTGAAGCTGCTTGTGCTCTTAACCACGTGGAGTTCCTATGTGCTGGAGATGGGTGACAGTCTCTGGCAATAAGAACTGTGGCCTCCTATTTGAAACTCAGCTGACATCACCCTGAAAGCCATGAAGGACATTTCTTCCTGCTGTGCCCTCCCTAGAACAGCATGTTCCTTGTGAATCAGTACGCTCTTAGAGGCCAAATCTTTTTCCTCCCTTCCAGCACTGCAGGTAAAATAAGACAGCGAGGCACCTTGAACATAGAGGAAGCCGAAAGCATGGAAACAGCCTGAGGTGAAAGTCCATTTGGTTAGGTGCCATGGCTGTATAGATTCAGTGTCTAAAATCCCTTGCGAAGAGAGAATGACATAGAGTCATTGACTGCAGTTAACTGTGGGGTTTCCTGAAGGCCAGATGTTAGAATGCCTGAAAGAACATATTTGAGCATAATTAGAGGCTTTTTGAAATTAAGATAAAACTTGATCTACAAAGTCTGTGCACTTGGGTTTCATGTTGCACTACACCCCCTGGAGTAGGCCTTTATCTTACATTTACATCAGGATGTTAGGCAATATGCCACCACCTATAATTTACTTGAGATACGGTGACTGTTAATTCTTAAAGTGTGGATTGAAGCAACGTGCTAAAACAATTTAGAAAATTTCCTGCCTGATATTTGGTTATTAAGCTGAAAAGGAAGGGCTAAGTACCTTGAGGAAGATAGTAATAAACATGGTGACAGTATAGGAAAAGCTAAATGGTACTGCAAAGGTAGCTTAGAGTCTTCTGTTTACTCACCCACCTATTGAAAGATGAAAGCACATATGAAACAGAATAGCAGTACACTGAAGTTGGGCAGAGTTTTCTTTGCATGAAGTATATTGCCATTCATGAGCAATACCAGCATATGTAAACTGAATAGGATTTTGAAAAAGACCAAGCATCTCATAGCCCCCAACACCTGTTGTCCTATTACAAGAATAAATGCATAAAATTCAGGAGTACCAAATAGGTTTTATACCAACTCTACTTAAAGAGAATTGAAAGCAAAATCTGTCTGCCAGAAGTTATGCCATAACTCTGTGATAGCATCCTCATGCTGTCATCCAAAACAAATTCCAGTTAATGTAGCAAAGATTGTAAACTGTTCGAACTACCAGCTGTATCAAGAGGAACAGTCACTGTCTTCCTGTGATGGTCTGTGATCCTTGGTTTATTTGTGTTGAATATAGTGACAGTCTACTGACCTGACCATGGACACGAGTTGTGATGTGGCTGAAAACTAAAAGAGGATGGATGTTTGAATGTAAAAGGAGATTTCTGGCATTCTGTCTCCTACCTGAATTGACTGCTGAATGCTTCAAGTGTGCATCAGTTATTTCTTTTACAAGTGAACCTGGACTGTGCTCCACTTAGAGACACTCAGGTTGATTTTTACTAGAAATGTTCAGACTTTGGTCAGTCCTATGCAAGTTCTGCCTGATGACAGGACTATTAACTCAGCTGATATTGTTTCAAGACAGTCTGAAACAATCTCTTCTGTTTTACAAGACATATAAATGCTTTACAGGACACATAAATTCCTAACAGATGCTGCTGCACACCTACTTTACACAGGCAGCTCCTGGTTACCTCCCAGTCTTGATGGGATTTGGTGAGCACTTGTGCAGCACTGGCACTGCAAACACTGTCCACCAGCAGTAGAGACTTAGGACTGAACTCCTGAAGAATGTCTATAGATGACTTCTGTTCTCTTTACTGATGTAATTCCATGCATTACAGGACCAGGCAAGGCATGAGAGAGATGGACACTTTGGTCTGTAAATGCATCATCTCTTCATCCTGGAAAGTGAAGTTTTTCTTCTTACTGGCTTCCTTTCCACACAAGCCAGCATGAGCCATGCAGCTTTCAGAGGATACTCTTAGAGGTAAAAAAATTGCTCTTTTCAGTTGCTAAACTTCAGAGCTGTTCATTTCTGCCCCTTCTTCCCACCCCAGACAGTGAAATGACTGCTGGCACTATTCAATAATTAATGTGCTGACATTTTAATATGCACAGGTATGATCATCCAATTGGTACCATCACACTGTAGGAATCGGTTTCTAAAAAATACAACAATCTCTTCTGCCCTCCAAATGCAGCATGAGATAATGTGTCACGTTCCCTAGCTACCAGTGACACAGAAGGAAGGTAATCAATACAGCTGGTAATACATAAAAGCAAAAATTGCAACTGATTCCCTTCACAGAAAAGCATCATCTTTTAGCCTGTATTATCACAGCTTCAGCTGTACAATGCATTAAAATGATTATGTACTTCTCTTTGCACATGCTAATTAGAATCCTGTTATCTTTTCTGAGAGCACCATTTGAAGAAGACAGGTTTATTGTGAGATCCTATATAAGTTTATTCTTTAGTAGGTGCTCAGTTGCCATAAATCAGTGTACTTCCACCAGAATCAGTAAGAGAAATACCTGCTTGCATCACAGGATGTGATGCTGTATTTTGTCTAGGGAAAAATGTCTGCACATCATCTTTTGAGCTCAAGGTTCAGCGAACAACTGCCTGCTAAGAAATCCGATCTTCCATGTTGCAGTTTCTCTTCTGCATTATTTAAATGGCAGGCAAAAGCACTGTGAGGCAGTGCAGACTGCAAAAAAATAGTATAATGCCATTCAAACTTTACCATTAAAAAAAACTCTACTTTTGTAAAGATTTTGCATTATGGATAGCCCATCGCATCTCAGAAGCTGTGTACAGCATTATTCACCTTACTGTTGAGTATTTTGGCACAAAAGAGTGTGTCTGCCTGATGGGTGAAGAGAGGACCTGGGAGCAGTACTTCCCTGTTGTAGCCAGAAATCAAAGCAATGTAACATTAGGTATGTACAGATCCACATATTTCAAGTTACAGCACTGATCTCTGAGAAGGTCTTGTTAAGGCTCTGTGCCGAGAGAATGACAGCAGTAATACTAGAAATGGCAAGGAGCATTCAGGAATTAATGTGAATTGTCAAGTCTGTCAGCTCTTTGAAGTTCTTCAGTGAGTGTTGCTAAATAAACACCTTGATTGGTGTCTTTAAAGGACGCATAAAGCTGTGAAGTAAGTATCTGAAGTACAATGGCTGTGGGGTTTCCAGCGATGGTTCTCATGGAGAGGAACTGCCACCTCTGAGAAAAGGCAGTGAAAATGATGGGGAATGGATGTGGAAGCTGTGTTCCACATCCATTCAGTAATCCAGAGTTTCTCCCAGCTTTGCCCCTCAGGGTCTGTATTTTAGTTGTTGAAGCTCTTTGTGTCTTTCTTATAAAGCTGGAGCATGAAAGGAATTATGCTGTTGTTGATGTGGCCTCTCTACTTGTAAATTCAAATACTTTGTTTTCCTCAGGAGATTGTAATTAATCTACTACTTTCCAAAGAATGTTTCTTCTACCAATAACCATATTCTATCTTTAGTTCTGGTCTGACTCTTTTCTAGAACGTGATTTTCTTTCCCATTAAACAAAATTTCTGAGAGAGCAGCCAAGAAAGAATCCTCTTTGCCTCTTCAGTCTTGCAGTGCTAGAACAGCTACTGTAGCTTGTCATACATAACAATACTGTCAGCACTGGCTTTTTTTCCCTACTCAAGGGTTTTTGGGGCCAGACAAAGCACGTCTCAAAAACTTCTGGTAGCTCCATCAGCACTTGGTGGCAGCCTGCTCCACTGCACAGAGCTTTGGCTCGGCTCAGTTGGAGCTACACCAGCCTACAGCCTCTGGAGCACCAAGGTAGAATCTGTTTGCTGTTAATATCAGATTGTTTAGTACTAAAGTCCTCCTCTTTTCTCTGCCACTAAAATTTGCTCTTCAGCTTCTGTGATGTTTTTTCTAAATTTACCTGGCTTTTGTTCATATCTTTCTGAGTCATGAGGAAGCCCTGTTCTGCAAGCCAGGTATCAACATAGCTCTCTTTCACCATCTCCTCAGAGGGCCAAGGCTGACTTGTGCATCTCCTTCAGCTGTCTGCATAGAAAGCTGCTGAAAGACACATCCTTCTTAGTGTTTTTCACAAAATGACCCATCTTGCATCACAGCCCTGGTCTAGCAAGGCAGCAGTGTGGAAACTGAAGCTTTAAAACCTGAACAGGATGAGAAATACGTAACCCTTGGAGAATGCTGAAGCTGACGAGATGTTTTGGAGCCAGTCTCTATTCTTAGAAGAATGGTGAATGTCATCATTTAAAAATAAGATCCACTGCAGTGCTAGCAGAGATGTATTTGTGGTATTCCTGTGAGTAAATCCCTCAGCACAAATTGACTTGGCTTCAAGATCAGAAACACTCTACTAAAATAAGGTCCAGCTGTGATTTATACACAGTGCTGATCTGAATGGGAGAGAAGTGCACATGGCATTTGTTGCAACAGGTACCCAGATCTCATGCCTGGAGTTTACTCAGTATTACAGATCAAGGAGAGAGCTTTTCAAGGGTTTCTGTAGGGGTTAGCCAATGCAAGCAGTGAAATTGGGTATATGTACACCCCTTTTGGAAATTCGCCCAGACACTTTGCTGCAGTTCTGCTGTCTGGCATGGACTCAGTGCTGCCTTTACAAGAGGTGGGTGCTCTGCCAAGTCTGAATCTTGTGCAGAGGCCTTTCTAACATGCCCATGCCTTAAGATATCAAATGTGTGTGAACTTATGTAGCGGTGGAGGTTTGGGGCTTACACTCAACCTATACCAGAACCCTTTGGGACATAGAATCATCATAGAAAGTCATGGGTTGGAAGGGACATTAAAATCCACCCAGTTCCAACTCCTCTGCTATGGGCTGGCTGGGGTCACAGAGCACAGATCCTGCCAAGACTCCTGACACAGAGGGGATCTGAGGGAAAGCAAGGTGAATGCATGTATTTGCAGCATTGCTACCCCCACTCCTGTGAAGGAAAGATGAAGTCTGAGACTATACTGGGGCTATTGGAGACACTTGCTAATGTAAAATCTTGTCTTAAGCTCATCATGGTTGCTGGAAATTGGAAACATGATTAGCAGGAAATTCCTGCTGGCTCAGAATCAAATCAGTGTTCCTTTTTGATGTCATACAGATTTCTGCGTGTTGTATTTCTGTCTGTTCTCCTTATTTCTGGTTTGTATTTACATTATTTAATACTGTTTGAATCTTGTGTTCTCTAGAGTTCTTAACATACCTCTTTTTAGGATTGTGTGTAGCAACAAAAGGCCAATGTCGGGCTGTCTGTGAGCAAGGATGGCCACAGATCCAAGCTCTTGGGGAACATCTGATTCCTTATCATTTTATTGGGAAAAAAAATGCAGCTGGCGGTAGTCAAATGTTGTTCATCTGCTACTTCACTGTTCTTTGAATAGTGAGGTCTCTCTCAGAAATCTAGCTTATTTCTTATAGCCACAACTTGATGGAGGGTATAGTCTTTTCTTGCTGGATGATTCTAGTTCTCCCAAAAGCTTTAACTTGAAGAAGCTGAGACCTTGAAGCTTTCTCTTGCACTTAATGATTTTAACGTGAGCTTCATCTAGGATCACATCAACAAGTGAAACACTGGATCCCATAATACCACCTTTCTGGAGCTGACGCTGTGGTTTTGCTCACCACAAATCCATGAATCTTGTCCCACCAGAGTGAATGGGAGTGCGTGTGTGAGTTATGCTGCAGAGAGAGGCTGTTTTATCCCATGCAGAAGTCATCAGCTGTCTGAGTCTCATGTCCTGTCCTGTTCTGAGACATGCCTGTTAACTCCTGCAGTTTACACTGCCCAGTGATGTCAGTGAGTGTTTTGCATGAGTAAGCAAGTTATTCTTTCCTCTAAAATAGTTATTTGATTGTGCATAGAGTGTTTAAATTTTAAAGGAGTTTTACACAAGCTGCTACCAAAGAAACACTTCTAATTCCAAACTGCCACACTACAGCTTTATTAGAGGAAGAATTAGCTATGTCTGAAAAACACTCAGAAGGGAAAAGAAGTAAATTGCATGTGTAACAAGTATTAACAATTGTTATAAAAGACCAAATAAAACTGCAGTGAAGATTTCACATTTTATTGTTATTAAAAGTCCATTATGAAATTGGCACAACACATAAAAATAGATCTGTGGTGAATGGTACACATTACTATTATTGCCACGTCATTTTGTGCACATCCTCACTTTTTAAAATCAGAAGATAATGAACATAAAACATTTCATCAGCTAACTGTGAAACCAGTGTTACTGCAGCTGGGAGAGACTGTGCTTTCTATCGATTCTACTCAAGCAAATAATGCAGACAAAAATAGTCCTCTATTGATGCTGAAATTCGGGAAAATGAAAGAACAGATTTTTAGAGTATTTCCCAGCTGAGAGGGCTGGAATTACCCCTTTTCTTACAGACCTATTCTCACAGAAGTCAAAAGGCATTTTGCCATGAACTTTAAAGGCAGCAGGATTTAGCTATTTGTTGACAGACAGACGGAAAGGCCTAGCAACAGAAGCTAAGGAAAGCCCGTGGCAAAGCATGAGTTTATTATTTTGATCTTGCACATGCTGCTGAATCTCCTTGTTATAGTAATTGTGCATATTTGTAACAGCAGTGATTGCTGGGAGGAGCTGGGAGGGTGTATCAAAGCCAGATAAAGCGTCAGTAGCTCATTTTTTCTCCCCATTTGGGTTGGCCTTCATTTTAACCCCACGCATCATACAGCAACTTTTACCTGTACATTTTCTGATCCATGTGAGAAAATCAGAACAAAGCCTAGAATGACCACAGATTTCACTAGGTCACTATGTAGTCCTAGCCTTTGGTGGACAAATAGAAAGCTGTGCTTGTCATGGTAAGCATTTAGGTCTGCCCTCAGCTTGACTCTGCCTGCTCACACTGTCATCTCCATTCTAGGGTGCTGGAAGGTTGCTCAGAGCCTCCACTACTGGCTCTGCAGAACTGGGCTCTTGGTGGCCTCTGAAATGCCCACTACCTGTCTCTAAACTCATGTTCCATTAGGACTACAGTACATCATGCTACAACACCACCAGTAGAAAGCTTGGAAGTGCTGTGGTTACTCTGTTCTCATTTCCTCCATAGCGAATTTTTAAATCCAGAAGATAAAATCTCAGTGCTGCTCTCTCACATGAAAATCTCAGGGTTTCAGTCTCAGCCTCACTTCAGGAGAGTGACAAGGGTGGAAGGCTGGCACAGCATTATGGTGAATCAGGCTCTCTCTTTGGTTTTCAGGCTGTTTACTCAAAACAGCCCTTGAGAAAGATGCTGTGCCTCAAGCAGATGTTACATTCAACCGGTTTAGCAATATTACGCCTATTTTTTCTCAAGCTAGTCAAGGAGGGGAGGGAGAATATAATATATGTTAGTGCAAGTTCACAGAGACAACACATGAATATTTAGGACAAAATGTTCTTTCAAGGTGGGGCAACCATTTCTAGTTGTGCCACGAAAAGAAGGTGTTTTGTAACATTTTTACAACTTGACTGTGAAAAAGCATTTATGTGAAATATGTTTAGACAGACTACCTCACATCACCCAGCATATTTCAAGGCTCTTTCTGAGTAGTCAATAAACTCATATTTCTTAAGAAAGGAAGAAAGGAAGAAAGGAAAAGAAAGAAAGAAAGAAAGAAAGAAAGAAAGAAAGAGCCATCAGCTTTATCACAGCCAATTCCAAATTTAACTGTGTAATTCAGGGGTGGATATTTTTGGTATTTTTTTGTTTTTTTCCCTTTTGGAAAAAATAATAAAGCTATGCTAAGGGATTACACTCCAAAGCTTTTACCCATTCAAGACTTCTTTCATTTCAGAAATAATTTCCTCATTTAGAGGAAACTGCAGAAATATTTAGCTCATAGATTCTAGCAGATCTCAAAAGTTGGCTAACACACACACTTGCTCCTGAGGAACTGCAGCTTCCAAGTAGTTCACAGACTACCACTGCCTACTGAAAAGCATTTTGAAAACCCAATGACTGTCCCAGTTTGGAAACAATCCAATTTCATGTCTAGTAGGGCTTTATACCCCAAATAAACATCTGAGTAATCCCTAAATTCTGGAGACAGAATTCAGATATAAATTTTACAGCAATCTCCCATCTTAAACATTTGGGCTTAACCCAAAGTCTAACTGAACAGAAACATTTAAGGCCCAAGTTTTCTCTGACTTGCACTGCACCAGCTTCTGAATGCAGTTAGCCAAGTAAACCAAGCACACATGGGACAGCCCTTGGTTACAGAGCCATAATCCTTCCTGGTACTGCCTGAGAGCAAAAGAAAAAGGCTTCCAACATTCTGTTAAACACACAAACAGATGTGGAAACTCTAAATGTGACTTTCTGCCCTTTCTTGAGTTCTCAGCCAAACCACTGCCCAGCAAAAGTGGCTTTACAGCTGTTCTTGCCTCTAAGCCCTGCTCAGAAACCACGACAGGGCAGAAGCAGGTGGTGGGTGCCACTCAGTTGAGTTAGGCAAAACAAGAACGAGGTTCCAAATAGCATTTTGCTGAGCCAGGTGACTACTGGAGCAGGAACCAACTAGTGTGCCTGGTACAGAGGTGGGAAAGTAGGCAGGATGGTTATCACCAGGTCTTTGCTGCTGATAGAGACGTCTGTACAGTTCATCTCAGCATGCTTGGCGTACACTCTGTGCTGTGCCAAGACCGTACAGGTCATGAAAAATCTGAGGGCTGCACTAAGCTACTGCAGCTACTGGAGTCTCAAGTGGCTGAAAATTCAAGTCAGCCAAACCCCTTATTCTGGGCTACAGCAAAGGCATGGAGCAGGAATCTCTATTGGCCTTGTGCTGTCAGAGAGATCTTTTTGGGTTTTGTGCTGCTGCAGGGTCACAGTGCTGCTCCCTCCAGCCTCCTACTGTGTGGCCCTCTGGAGTAGCAGGACAGCCTCAGGCAATGGCTCTGCATCACAAAACATGGCTTCACATGCATAGTTAGAGAAAACACTAGACAGGGTGGGCATCAAACGTCTCTCCAAACAGAATTCATTTTCTGCTTGCATCTGCTTTGGAGCTACAGACTGTTCCAAAGCTGGAGAAAAATCTGAGCAGCTCACGTGGAAGCACCTTTCCCTTGGATTTTTATTATCATCATTTTTAAGAATATATTTTGTAGCAAAACACTGTCAGCATTCTTCATACAACAAAAAAAATGACACAGTCATCGTGAATCATGGAGAAGAGTAAAAACAGAGCAAAACAGGAACATTTCATATAGAGGTTCAATCGGGAGTACAAACAGAATCTAATGTACAACTTAATACACCAGATAAAAAGATCATCTGGAAAACAACAGGTTTTCTCTTAATTTTGAAAAAGGAAAAAAAGTCAGGGGACTTCAATGTTAAGGCTAAAATTTCCAATATTAATTCACTTTGTAGGTGGGAACCCAATCCTTAACTCGTTCACAGCAGCACCACCCTCTGGCTTTACAGAGAGATCTGCACTTGTGTGAAGTAAGAATCAGGCTTCTATGCCTTTGTGCTCAGAGGACTCTGGTTGACCTCAGCAGCCTTTGGACTAGAGCCATAGCTGGAATTTCAGCTTGCAGTCTAAGGCTTCTTAACTGCAGGCCAAATTAGCACAAAATGAGGCTTTGCAACTGGCATGCTACCCTTCACTTTGGATATTCCAGTTCTGGTTGCTTTGAAACACTTCTTTATTGCAAGCTTAATATAGTTCTGTTTGTGAGATTTTTTTTCTCTTTTTTTTTTTTAATACTGTGCTACAAAGAATGTTTTTATATTGTGTCCCTACATTACACGTCTTCAAAATTGCCTAAATATATGTTTATATCATGATTATAACTACTCAGAAAGACTTGCCGTGGTCTACTGTGAGCAGGCAAGGAAAAAGCGCATTTAGTCCTAAAGAAGTCAAGAAAAGTGGTTGTGTTCATTTATAGTGTAGCACAATGACTCTGTTTATACAGCTATACCTACTAGTTAAAAAGCTACTTGAAAAGTTATTATTCATGTGCAGTGGATGATTTTCAAGCATTAATAACTTGGCTGTCTAGACAAGTTTTAATTGTCATATCAAAGGCCGAATATGTTCTCAAATGAGTGCAAAAGAAATCTCCCATCTCCCCTGGAAAGAGGCTAGTTCTCTTGCTGAACTAAGAGACTGCCAAATTTAACTTTTTCTCAAGTTATAAAAGCACAGCTACAAACTTGCCATTTAATTTTTAAAAACACATTGACTTTAACTCAAACCTATCCTGCACAGCAAAGTTAGTAAGCCCTGAAAAACAGTCTAGTGAATATATGCAAAGAGCTCCCCCCACCATCTACCATGCCCACATTTTCCCAGGGCCCAGAGGGCTCCGTTAAAATGTAATTCAATGTTCAATAAGAAACATGAATTTTCCAGAACGATATGTAGTGTTTACCCAAAGAATCCAAGACATTTTGTACATTCAAAATGTTTACACTTTGCTGTTCTTAACGATCAGTAAGATTGTTCATTTTTACTAATACATACAATGAGTATAAATAAATAAACTACAGATAAGCTTTAAAAATTGTATTAACAGTACATTGTGCAAAAACTTGTAACAATCTACATTCTATGCAAATACCCTGACTAAAATATACAGGCTAGTGTCCTCATACCCTCATTCAGTTTTTTGCACAGTCCTTGGACCAAATCAGCGGCTGGGAGCAATCAGCAGGATGCCACTGCAAGCCATGGAGGTTAGCTGATTAACACCAGCAGCAGATCTCGCCCTTGGGCACCTGCAAAAATCCCATAGGAATCAATGGGAGTTGTGCTTGACTAAGGACTAAACAGTTTGATTGTACCCCGATAAAGTGAATAGCAGATTTGCCATTGATTTCCGTGGAACCAGGCTCAGGCCCTGGGTAAGGACGTCAATATGTGGCCCTACGTTGTGCTACACTACTCCACTTCAGTGCAGAAACAATATTTGCAAAATAAAAGCCTTTTGTTGTTGTTGTTACTGCTGTGCAGTAACTGATTTTAGTGCTGTGTTTCAGAAATAGCCTTTCTGTGAGATTTGAAACAAGACTGCAAGTCTTTCCGAATCCATTCCAACTTGATTATCCAGCACAAGTGGGCTATTTTGATCAAAGAAAAATGGCTCAATGTCTATTAACCATCAGTGTTCTTCATTAGGATAGACAACAGCCCAGTTCATCGGCACAGGCGTGAAGAACTGCACACAGAAAAGGAACAGCCTTCCTACTATAGTTGTGTCCAGAGCTGGCTGTCACTTCTCCACACAGACGATGGCACCTGAGCCGGTTTGGAATCTACAGTTCTAACAAGTTCAGCCAAGTTTTGTAAGCTGAAGATCTCCATTTATCTTTATCGTGTCAATTGCTGACAGTGTTTCAATACGGTGGTAAAAATCAAAGAGCTGATGTCCATCCACAAATATTCTAAAACGGGGATGCTCACAAAGTATCTCAACCTGTAAAAAATAAAATGATGAACCGTGTTCACAACATAACTAGGAAGTTCTTTCACAGGATGCAAAGAGCACCAGATTAGCCTTTAAGCAGCGTTGGTATGGCTACACATCTTGCTACTTGCACGCCATGTAACAGAGAAAGCTGAGCCCACTTTGCCCCCACAACCCCAGTTACACTACAAGGGATCTGCTCGCACTTCACAGAGGTGTTAATCCAGTCTCACACTGTCACAGTGGGGAGAACCCCCAAACCCCGATGCACAGCTCTGCAGATTATGGTCCTGCTGGCACCAGGAAGGTTTTCTCTCTGTGAATAATGCCAGAAGCAAACTGCTAATTAAAGGTATATCCAACCCAAATCTTGCATTCCTTGCTACAGATGCTTTTTTTCCCCCCTGCAGAACAAGGGGGCAGTTCCCTCTGCAATGTTTTCCACACTGCCATTAATTCAGTGGAAGAAAGCAAACATGAGAGGAAGAGGTTTGCCCTCCCATCCCACACACCAGAACTGCACATACACAGCTGCTGTGCAACTAAAAAGCTTTTGCTGTGGTAACTGCACACAGGACTCTCTGTTGGACTAGGGGCAGCTTGATTACAGCCAGACAGCCCACCAGAAGCACAGACTGCACCAGGGAAGGATAAAGCTCATCTCTCATCCTACAGCCCTGGAGAAATACTCTAGAAAAGCCACAAGGAGAGGAACTAGACCACTCATTCTGGATAAGTCCAGAGATTCCTGATATTAAGGGTGGCTTGACGCCTTGCAGATAAGCTTTGCTGAGCTGCCCCATCAGGAAGACAAGACTTGAAGGCACAAAACATGCATTTTTTTCTACGGGCCCTCACAGACCTCCAGGTCTGGAAAGGCTGAGAAGAAAATCTCCAGTGAAGCCATGTGTAAATCCCAGGTTGTTTCTGAGGCTGGTAGTCTGGAGCAAAGTGAGTGATAAACTGAGCAAGTCTAAGCACATCCGACTTAGGGCACGTCATACTGGGGCAGTAGCAGCAGACTGCCCACGGGGACCTGGAGGCGCACGGCGGTAGCAGGGAAGCACTCGTGCTGTTGTGCAGCTCTGGTGTCACTACAGCAGGTGCATCCAGCCCCAGGCCTTGTTATGTAAAAGATACGGTTAGCCTCAACGCTGCTTACAATCTACCCTGGGCCATACCAAAATGATAATTGAACAGGATCACAGGTAATTGGCAAGAGCACTTAAATACTCCTGTTTAACTTAGTCACTGACGAGACCATCAAAGATGCAAAGGTAACTGGGAGCCCAAATTCCATTTGGAAAAAAAAGAAGGAAAAAAAAATAAAATGAACAACTCCTCTTCTACAGTACGTCACACTAAATGCACGATACTGCTGTCTTCTGCTGCCAGCTGTCATTAGTGGGACACCTGCAGAACATACTCTGGGCAATTTGTCTGGCCTGTCAGAGTGCCTAGCCACCGCCCATGGCAGCAGGTAGCCCATCCCTCTTAGCCAAAGCAGGACCAAGGCTCCACGCCCTTCTAAGCACATTTCCCACGTGCCAACACAACAGGGTGTTGCCAGCTGTGACAGGGGAGATCGTAGAAGCAAGTAGAGCGCAACCAATAGGCAGCAAAACCTGTCATAAACACTCTCTGAAAGCCCAAGCCTCTGGGGAGACGGTGAGCTTTTGGGGTTGGGGGAGATTATCTTGGGGAGAAGAAGGATTATGAGAGTTTGGCAGCTGGTCAGAATGGTGGCACTAAGCAAAGGGGCCAGCAAGGTTTCATAAGAGGGGTGGGGGGAGCGGGAGGGTTTTTCTGGGTCAGCCGCACAGAGAAGGCGTGCAGCCCTTTTTCTCACGTAGTCAAACTGCTAAGAGAGAAGCAGCCCTCTGCAGCTGCATACTTTGTTAGTCCTGATTAGCAAAGACATCTTCACATAGCCATAAAAACCACAGATGGGAATCTGCTTCTGGGTCAACCCAGTCCATCCCGTGCACACGGGATTTTCACGTACGCTATTTCCAAGTGACTGTGGGCTTAAATTTGGCAGGAGACTTAATCCCAGGGTTCAGAGAAGAATACCACTATCGCTTAGCTATTTAATCTGCTGACACAAAGGGCTACGGCCAGCCTCTGCGTAACATCCCTGGAGGAAAAGGATGAACAAGATCCTCATTAACTGCGCTAAACTGCGAACGCTACGTCCATTATAGAAATCATCCAAACCCACGGCAGTCCCACAGAGTATTTACATTCTCCAGTAATAACTTGAAACGCAGTAATAACATAGAGGTACTTTTTAATTTATAGCTATAAAACTAAGCTCAGGAAGCACACTTCATCACACAGCATTACAACCTCCGACTTGTCATAACACCCTGTGATGTGTTTACGGCCCCATCGGAACTGCCTGCAGGTGCAAGGCAGCAGAGAAGCAGGCTCTGCACAGCACAGCGTGTGATCCATGGCAGCAACTCGGCCATCAGCACCGCAACCAAAAGCAAAGTGTGGGGATGCTAACAGAGTCGGCACGCACTCACCCGAAAAGGCTGGTCCGGTATAAATGGGAAGTAAGGAATAGATGACTGCTCTTCTCCCCATTCTCCAGCTACACACGAGTTTCTGATGAACTGTCTGTCTGTGAACACGGCTTTCAGCTCGATGGCCACATCCGCGGGAGGATCCTCCGACTCCCCACAGGTCAGGCTGATGCCAAAGCTGCAACGCAAACACAACCGTTTTCATTCAGCCAGAACACAAGCACACAAACCACAAACGCAGCTGTTTTCTCAGCGCACTGAAACCGTCAGCAGCACAGAGCTCATGCAGGGAATGCCCAAAGAGCTCTGCAGGGCAAAGGACACGGCTACAGCACACAGATAGGTGCGTGTGCCGCATGTATATGTGCGTATGTGATCCAACGCGAGTCCTCCTTTCCTTCAAGTGAAATGCTGAGAAACGGGATCCGGTAAAGAAATACCCCCTCTATGGGTCAAAGGAGAAACCAGCAAGCTATATTTAAAGCGATAAAAATAATCCTTCTGTAGAAAGGAGAGACCGTGTGTGTGTGTGTGTGTGCGGGTGGGCTCCCACCCCCCCCCGGCCGGGCCCGGCAGGTTTCACCTCTCGGGGTTGAGGTCCACGATGCCCATCACCAGGATCTTCTTCCCCGGTCGCATCCCTCCTTTGATGTGCCCGCAGAAGGGGACGATCTGCCAAGGAGAGGGACGGCGGGTCACTCGGTTGTGCAGCCGAACGAGGGAGGGTTCGGTGGTGGGGGGGGGTGGAAGGGAGGGAGGTTGTTAAAAGGAGTCCAAAAATAAAAGCAGCAAGAAAACAAATTTACCAGCCGAGGGAAGTACACATCAGCCTGCACCGGGGATCCCAGGGAGTTGTTTAAATGCCCGTCCTCTATTTTCTGCAGGTAGAAAGCAGAGAGCTGAGGCAGGCAGAGGCAGCAGGGCCCCTCCCGGCCCCCCGCCTCTCCCCTCCGCAGGTGCGCGCCCCGGGCAGCAGCCCGGCAGCGGCACAGCAGCGGCACCCGCCTCCGCGCCGCAGGTGCCCGCCGCTCCCCCAGCCCCGCACCGCGGCGGCACTCACCAGCGCGTCCCGCTCGGCCACGGTCCCCGCCATCTTGTGCGAGCGGCGGCGGCGGCGCCGGGGACGGGGAGGGGGCGGCGGGTAGGGCTGGGCTCCGGGGGAAGCCCGGCGGCTCGGGGGGCAGCGGCGGAGCCGGAGCGGTGCCGGCGCAGAAGTAGGAAGGCGGAGAGGAGGAGGAGGAGGAAGAGCAGAAGGGGAGGTGGCCGGCGCTGCCTCGCCCGGCGGGGAGCGGGGAGAGCCCAGCCCCTGGCCTGCGGGGAGCCGGGCAGGGCGGGGATGCCGCGGCTTCCTCCGCTCCGCAGCTCTGCCCCGCGGCGCGGCCCGGCCGGCAGTGGGCGGGAGGGGCGGCCGCAGCCCCGGCCCCGCGGGGTCTCGGCCCCGCCGAGGAGGAGTCGCAGGGAAAGGGGGCGGCCGGGGGGCGGCGCTGGGCCGGGGGAGGTCGTGGCGGGGAGGGGGCGGCGGGAAGGATGCGCGCCCCTCGGGATGGGCAGCGCTCGGAGCCGCGCGGGACGGCGCGACGGAGAAACGCGGCGGGATGAGGAGTCCCTCGCCTTCACCGCAGCGCGAGTGACGCGTCCCGAAGGAGCGCCGTCGTGGTGCCGCCGATGGGCTTAGGGCCCTGGGGGCGAGGGTCTGGAGGGGGTTTTGCTGTGTCTTCCTCGCATTTAGGGTTCGGAGGCGTGAACGACCTTCTGGCGACGTGACGCGGCGCCGTGCACGTGCCTCCTGCCTCCCGCCGTGCGCGTCGGGCCGGGTGGATGAATGTCGCCGTCCTTCCCTCCGCCGCCGTGAGGATTAATTACTCATTACTCCTAATGTGCTGTGGAAGAAGCTCAGTCATTGCAATACTTGGGGTTTCAATATGACCGAGCGTATCTGTTGGGAAACGCTCCCAATCGCTAGGTGATGCCATTCAAGAAATAAAAAGCTACTGAGAGTAAGTGAAGATTGCACAAGTGTGCGGATGCTTGGTTACTTTTTCAGTAGCGTCCACTAATTTAGGGATGTTTTCATCTCCGGATGTCCAGCTGAGGTGGCTCATCAGAGCTTATGTTTGTGCGTAAGGCTCTGTGCATGTCCCCTATGGAAGTCCTGGCTTCTTCAGCTGTACCAGCACAGCTGGGCATGCGAGCAGCAGGATCCTTGTGGCCGAGGCCTTGGCCTTGGAAAACCACCAGACCGTTTTCTTCATGCCAAAACATTGGGTGTCAGCCCTACCGCATGGAAATTGGACATGGATTTTCCTCAAATACAGACAGGAGACTGAGTTCATAAGCAGCCAAAACACGTGAGAAATGGTTGGCTTTCCAGTGGTGAGCCAACTGCATTTGTGAGTTCACCACAGCAAGGAACCAGAGGTGTAGACCTGATGGCTTTGTCAGCTCCCTTGTGCTGCTCACCTCTGCCCTCAGCTGCATTGTGCTGTTCTGTGACTGGCCTAAGAGAGAAGAGAAAGCTCCATATGCTTTTTCATCTTTAGTTGGTGGTACAGTGGTACACAATGCCCAAAGAGCTCTTATCGTAACTCATCATCTTTTCCTTGGCTGTACAAGGAGCCACTTCATTGGATAAGATTAATTTTATGGGACATAAAATCAGGCCAGCCTGTCCTTTGTGCCCTGAGTTCTTGTGAGGAGAGAGGTCGTTATTATTATGTCTTTGCTGTGTAGCTTTTATTTAGGAATAATTAAATAACAGGACTTGGCTATTTGGCCAGCTGCTTTGCCTCGTGTTTGTCTTTTCTGGCGCATTTTCCACAAATGAACACAAATGCAGTGTTTGTTCTCTTGGCCTTGGAAGGAGTGCCTGGAACAACCTGCGGTGTGAAGCTATGAGGGGGAAGGACCTTGCTGTGTTTTTCAGGCACTGACTGGTCTGTGTGCTTCAGTTTCTATGGCAGGTTCTCCTCTCATCCTGTAGCAGCCCAGGACATTGAAAGTGGGGATAAGTGAGGCAGCCAGAGCAGCATTTCCCCCAAGTGCTGCTGTGATGGCTGCTCCTGTGGCTTCTTCCAGGGAAGATTTCTCCAGCTAAAGAGATCCGCCTGCCTCATCTCAGCCATGGGCTGAGCTTGTAGGGCTGGTGGTGGTAGCTGTGACAACGTGATAAATATTTGTGCTCCACTGAAATAATTATGACTTAGGTATCACTGAGACTGACTTGTTGGCCAAGTACAAAACCCTCATGGGTAGACATTGCCATCCAGTTCAGGGCTTGTACAACCTTTTGCTCAGTGGGAATCTGAGACTCCTGAAATACTTAGAATTGTGTAAAGATTAAAAAGAAGTGGCACGGTGTGAATACCATTTGGGAACAGCTAATGATGTGCCCAGCCCAGCCACCAAAGCCATTGCTGAGAACTGGCAAACCCAGAACATCATCTTAATCCCAGCACCTTGTATCTTACAGCCACTCCCTGTGATGATTTAAAGAGGTGTATCTAATTCTCAGCTGGCCTTCACCAAGAAGGAATGCAGCACGATTGCAATTTTGGTGTGGTGTAATTACCCTGCCTTTCTTGCCCCATTACCACTGACACCACTCTCCTCACGCCTGGGTTTATAGGCTGACTTGTACAACCTCTTTGATTTGCTTTGTTTTTTTAAACAAGGTTGGTAAGAGGTGTTTGCTGGTTTCATGGAAGCTTCCTTTGGTTTCTGGGTGGCACAGCACCAAAGTCCTCGTTTTTCTAAGACTCTTTCAGAGCTGAGCAACGTGATACAGGAGAGTCTGGCAATAAGTTTGATTCAGTGGCTTTAGCCAAGTGCAAAAGTCCAGGGGGGTTTCTCCTTTCAGAAATACTGCAGTGCTGATAAACAGGGGGTTACTTTTCTTGGAGCTCGGTGGCTTTGCCACTGCAGTCATCAGACAGAGTTCTGGGAATCCAAACTCAACCTTGTGTAAATTTGCCCTATGCAGGGGCCCAGGGCAGAGCTTTGAAGAAGATGGGTCTTGATGGAAGCCAGGAATGGGCTGGAGAGCAGAGTGGGAGACACAGGGCTTCTCTTGTCATGCAGCATCAAAGAGACCTGAGGAGATTCCCCTGGCACTGCTTATTGAGCCTGAAGTGCAAGGTGCCACATCCCTGCAGAAACATTCATAAACCTGCCCTCTCCTGCTCACCTACAGGAAACAGATGACAGTTATCAGTACAGACAATGCAGGGAGGGTGTGTAAAACACCTATGCATTTTCACAGGTTAATGCTGTCACATCTTTATGGATGGAGGAGGGAATCCAGGACCAGGAGCAGCATCCCTTTTCAGCTGGCTGTCCGTCATGTCTGGTGTTTATACAGACCATTTCGCAGCTTTAAGTTAAAACGTGATGTTTGTTTTGTGTGGCTTCCTTGCTTCTTGTCACTTCCTGAATTATTCTGCTCTGAGCCTTGCCCTTCAATCTCTTGCTGTGCATGAGTCCAGTGGAAAAGTCAGTTTTCTGGGCCTCTCATTAATAGAGATCAAGTAAACCGGTGTTTAAGGAGATTGGCCCGAGTGAGTCATTTGATTGCACACAACTGCTGTGCCCTGGTGCAGAGCTTGTGTCTATCAGCAATATTTATCTTGCAGATTGTTTACTGGATTCTGCACCATGAACCAAGGTACATACATAAAGGTATGTCAGATAAGAGCTTGGCTGTGGGTTGATTCATGTTCAGGGTTTTTCTGCTTTTCCACAAAGAATCAATGTTCAAACAGGGGCAGGCAGAGCGAATGCTGTGAGGCTGCAGCAGGAGCTGGAAGCATCCCCACAGGACACTGTGTTTGTGTGACTCGGAGGCTGGTCTTTCCTGCTGTGTCCTGCGCTTCCTTGGTGTTATCTGCACTCAGCTGTTTTATCACAGATCTCATGGTGTCAGCTCTTTTTTTCTTTCAGTTTCAGTTTTGAATTCTTTGCCATTTCCCAAATGCTTGGCTTTTAATTTTCATTTGTGCTTTTTTTTTTCTCCTGTTTTCTGAACTTGGGAAGCGGTTCGAGAATTGGCTGTTTTTCCTAAAACTGAAATCTAACATCAGAAAAGAGCATATGTATTTTAAAATGTCATCATTTCCAAGACAACCCCACGAATTTAAAGTGCCCTCACTTTAGGGTTCACGAACATGATGTGTCATATCTTCATCACATCTTCCAGAGGACGTGGAAGAAGACTGCTAAGGGGCCTTTACCCATAAGTATCAGCATGTCAAAAGGCCTTTCTTTGTGTGTTTTAAATTATTAGTGACTGCTCTATCTCAAAGAGACTTCCTGTTACTTTGCATGGTCTGCAGGACTGGGCGGGGGCCGTTGACTATTTTGGAGGCACCACAGAAAATATTCTTCATTTGTAAGTTAATAGATCCACCTTATTAATCCTGTTTTTACAGTGCTTTCTGCAAATGAAACCTGGAACGTGAGAATCACATCTTCACACTTTAACTGCTAGCTCCAGCAGTTAAAGTTTTATGCAAAGCAAATTGTGAGCATGTGGGCAGGGCAGTGCCCTTGTGGATTTGCTGGATATAACTGGGTGGTCCAAACCAGTGTGCTGCTTTGGGTGCATTAGGAGCAGAGTCAGCATCTGACCGAGTCCCAGAAGTCTGAATGAATACACAAGGCTGATGGCTGCCCTACAATCTTCAAACAGAACCTTTGAATGATCCCAGTTCAGTTGGCATGGCTGCTGGCACAACAAGGCTGTTCCTGAGAAGGCACGGACAGACAGATGGACACTCTGCTTTGTGCTGCGTGGTTTTGCAGTGTCTCTGGGCAGCTGATCGAGCAAGGGTTTCACTGCCTCTGCTGTATTCTCACTAAGGCGTTGCGGCAGTCTGAACTCATCTTCCCTTTTGGATCATGTGTGGTATCCTCCATTAGTAACACTTTGCTCTGACAGGCATCCTGCTGTGCATTGCAGCAGTCAGGGGCTAAATAATTTATTTGGGAAGCGAGTTTTGTACATGGCTTTGGAAAAGGAAAGAGAACAGGAATATTGCAACAGTGAGCCATGGGGTGGATTTCAGTGGTAGCCTTGGAGAAATACGTTGTGCCCTATAGTTTCTGAGCATTGCACTTTGCCATCCATTGTTTCAAAATTGCCTTCTCTCCCATAATTATCTTTACAAGAGGAGGCGGATCCAAAGCATTTGTTTGTGCTTTTCTTTTTTTTTCTTTCAAGGTAGTCCATTGATTTCCATTTTTAATAATAAGTGTGAATAAACAAAAGGAAAAAAAACCAACATGGTAATACATTAGCTGGTATTTCAAATAGAGAGAACAGGTCTGTTTGCCACAGCACGCTCCATATGTGGACATCAAAGTGTCTTACAGAGGTCATAATTCTC